TAGATGGACTTGTACAGATCTCTTTAATAATGTTCTGTTTTTTGAATTTTACCATTGTCGGGACATTACACCGTTCTATACGTCGGTTTTACAGGTAAAGATTTACCTGGTGCAGGTAAGTTGCAGGCAAATAGGTAGATCATGATAATGTTAATTTATTCATTGAATATGTTTACCGATGTACTATAAAAATATTTAAAAAATAACAAAAGAAATTTGTCAGTAATACAAATACAATCAGCATTGTGTATTATTTCAAACATACTATATAAACATTCAATTATAAGTGTATAATATATATTTTTATACTAAGCAGATTCTGCAATTTTACACACAATTATTGTACTTGCAAAAATTAAATTTTTTTTTTTAATTTAACTTCTTGAAAAATTCAAACAAATCATTACTTAGAGCACTTTGCTCCAATTTCTTGCAAATTTGCACTTAAAAAATTGCAAGCTTCGATGCGTGGTGTAAAAAAGTTACGTAAAAAGTCATTTAGCATAACTGGAAGATTCTTTTTAAAGTGATTATCAGATCAGGTTGTTTGCTTGCATAAATAATCGAATTACCGAAACACATTACATTCTCAGATCCGGATCCTGAAATAGTTTAAAACTGAAGCAGTTTCAAGTCAGGTCGATCTGTCTCAAGCGTATTATTATCCCAATTATCGCGTCGCTGTCTAAAATCGCGCATACACGAAAGGACCACCAGCGTTCACCTTCGTTAACCGTCGATCCCGTCTTGTTCATTCGGTCAAATCGCGATCGCAGAAAAACATTGCTATCCTTTAATGAACATCGCGAATCCGATCGGAAAGAAGAAATAAGAGAAAAAAAAAAGAGGAAAGAAAACTCAGGTAAAAGAGGTGTACGCCGTGGACGGTACGAGGCAACCATCCGACCTGCGAACGGCAGCGACAACGAGGTCGTAGTGGGGAAGACGGGAAGAACAGTTCAGGGTGGAGGGAACAACACACGGACAGGAGAAGGAAGCTAACCATAGCGATAATGGTGATGATGGTGGTGGTGGTGGTGGTGGTGGTACCGGCGGCGACGGCAGAAGAGGGAACCTCCGTAACAGGTAGATGGAAGAAGGCGGGTGGTGGAGGTGGTGGAGACGTTCTGAGACGCGCGAGGGAGACGAAGAAGAACGCAGGAGAGAACGGTCATTGCCACCACCTCACCTCAAGCGAGGCCCGCACGCTAGAGTCCCTGTCGGCGCGAAAAGCGCCGACCCCGACATGGTCTACCGTCCGCGGCTGTCCCGCAGTTTAGCCTGCCCGCCGTTTGTACCTATCCGGCTTCACCTACCTACCTGGCCGTGGGGGGGCCGGCCGTATTCCTCTCTCGAGAGGACGCGAGCGTGCGAGCGAGCGCGATCGCACCCGATGCGTGTCGTCGTGGCCTGCCGATTCTTCGTGCAGGGGGAGCGAGCACCCGGATCGGGGGATCGGCTGATCCAGAAGTCGTGAACCGAGTAAAACCAGTTCGATTGGTGCCAGCCGTAGCGAGCAGGTCGAGACGGCGACTGCCGAGTCCGAGTACCGTCCGAGAGGAGCACATCCTATCCTTCGCCTCCTTCGGATCGCTAAGTCCGCCGAGTCCTGATATATTATCGCGCCGCGACGTATCCCGGACGGGATCCCGAAGGAGATCCGTCCCTCAGAGCCCGACGAGGGTCGCTGGGTCACAGATGAGACGGGGTGGCGCCGAACGCCGAGACACCACTCGACAGGCATCGACCACGTGCCGGCCGCACGTGTCCAGCGGAGGATTCGACGAGATCGATCGAGGGCGCGCCAGGTCGTCGCAAAACCGTGCCGTGGAAATCTAATCTCGGCGATTTCGTCGGAGAGACGATGCACCGTTGCAACGTCTGACAACGTCGAGGAGTTTGATTAGCATCGTAGTGGAGAAGAAGCAGCAGCAACAGCGGCGGTCTGTCGACCGGTGTCAGTCAAGGTATGCTTACGGCTCCGTCTCAAGGTCCCGTGGTATGAAGAAGCGCCGTGTTTTTCTTGCGCGAGTGACCTTCGCTGAGATTACAACGGTCAGTGGTATCGTTTTTGTCGGGGGGGAGGGACGGGAGGAGAGACGACGCACCTTCTGATTGCGGATAGTTCGGGATAATTAAGTGATTTGATCGGCGATTCCTGCGCCGCGTGTTTCTAGTCACGGTGGTTACTGAACCCGGGCTGAACAGGTGGTTTCCTCTGCGGTCTCTCGTCCTTCATCCTCGAGATCGTACGATTAATACTTTTTTCTATCGTTCCCGCGGTCGGACGATGATTATTGCTCAGCGTGAGCGGTATAACCGTGATAGATCAACGACGTTTAATCTTCCTCGAGAAGCGAGGAACGTATCGTTCTTATGACAACACTTCGCAAGATTCAATAAAGACTAGTTAAAATGCTGTCGGTATCTCGAGCTTCTTCAAATGTGATTTGCGACTCGATTAACAGTGTCACAAACAAAACCAATGACAACAGCTGTCAGATATATCGCGCATGATGTCTAACAATATTTACTTTTTCACTTGCTCTAGCGAGACAAACTTTGTTTGCTTATGTTTGTAAATAGGTGTTTAAACAACATGCTTCGAGAACAAATTGTAGTACATGGCTACATAGGTTTTATAAATAAATAGAAACAGGAGCGATCTTAGATACGCAAACCACACTTGTTAAGCTTAAATCGAGCAAAACACAGAAATGATGGATTATGATGGCTTCAGTTCGGATACTACTAATATTATCCGCTTGATGAACACGGCTTATTGCGCGAATAATCAATTCAGAGGTTTACATGTGTACACTACCGTGACGTATATCGACGAGCGGGACATATTGCAGATCCGTTGTCGAAGTTAACCGCATGTTCTTTAGAATAGCGGTATACTTGACTCGTTTCAGGCTGAATTTTATTCGTACGTGGCCAGCGAGCTGCACGTGTGCGTGCATATGTGTAAACTAATGTCTCTGTTCGGTTTTATGTAGTTTCATACATAATTCATGCGGGCCCGACGTGAAAAATCAGGTATTCTTTAAATCAACCTGTTCATTTCGATAAAATAACTCTTAAACGTTGCTTGAAAACGCTATTAATATTGGATGATATATATTATTGTTTCTCAGAACATCTATAACGTAAATTTTATTTGGAGCAAATACATAAAACAATGTTAATGTTCGAGAATATCAGCTCAAAATAATAAATTTTTTTTCTATGGAATTTTTTAATTGAGATAACATGCACTGCAAAAAAATTAATTTACAGAAACAAAATGTAAAAAATTACATGATAAATAAGTAAATAAATAGTGTAAAATGTATAAAGTTATATAAATTACAATATTTTTAAATATATTTCCATTATTTATCATTTAATTTTTACATTTTATTTGTATAAATTTACCGGAGTTTCTTCCAATGTGGATACATAAATAATCTGTCAATTTTATAAAATTCTTAGGTAATTTCCTTGCAGATGAGAGTTGAAATATACCGTAATTCGAGTTCAAACTAATTTCTACGCTGCCTACGCTGCAATATCTAATATGTTCGTTAATGTTGTTAGCTAAAAGGAAATAATCTACGACCGACGTAATGGCAGACGCAGCGCGACTCGCAGTCCAGAATTAAGACTTACAGTTTTATTTGCGCGTATGTATCTCGGCGCCAACCCACATGTGTGCCGCATTAGATACGTGAGTACAAATGAAAGTGGCAGGTACCGTTACTGCATGAGTGTTACGTTAGGACAAAAGCTTTTTCTACGTGCGTATATCTTCGCGTATAGTCCACGATGCTCACGTGCGTCCTAGTCGCTTTCGTCCACCAATTAAGATTCATCATTATCAATAACGTGTGAATTTTTCTCAAACGAAGGAGTATAAGATAGATGAGTCGTGAAGTCACGACAGTAGAATAAATAAAATAAAATAAATATGTGTCAAAAATCAAGATGAATGTATACTTAAATGTAAATGAGGAAAGATAGCAATTAAGCGGCAAGGCAAAGGTCAACTCGCGAGGATGCTTTGCTCTCTGCATTCGTTCCTTCTTGCCCGAAACGATCGACGATCCTCGGACAATTCGACGCACCGTGTCTTATTTTGCTCGCAGGTATCGATCGTTGATTATTTGTTTGTCGAATGTTTACAAAAGTACACGACGTAAAAACATAACTTTCTCGCTCCTACATTATAATATGCCTAAAGAGAAAGCATTAGCTCTGTAAATATGTAGAACGGTGATTAACACGCTGATGTAAAAAAAATATTTGGACTGTGTGACTAGAAGTACTAATTAATATTTTTAAAAAATGGAGATAAAAAATAATATTATATCACTTATATTATTAATTTTATTGCGGTTTCGCAAAGCCCATTAAAATAATTAAAACTACCTTTTTACACTGTCTTATCTTTTTCTAAGATATAATTATATGCACTCTGCAACTTTCACTGACAAAATACGCTCGTTAATTATTTAATTTTAAAAGAAAAAGTATATATTTTTCTAGTGATCTAACATTATCCGCAAATAAAATTGTAAGTCTTAAGAGATTGACGAATATAGAGAACAAAGCATTCTCGCGTTGGCTTTTAACGTTTCATTCTAGTCAATTAGGAAATATCATACACTCAGACTTGAGAAAAGAAAAATACTGAAATGAACATCGACCATAGGAAACGAACGTTGTTTCATGTGTAGCGTCTAATAGCCGGGAGTATCTTTATCTAATATATCACTAATATTTATCTAATATTTCACTAATTAGACTCACGTCTATATTCGTTGTTTCACTCACCTGCATTTTTGTCTGCAGATAAAACTGTAACAGTCTTTGTTGCTTCCTCACTGTGTTTTCCCCGTGATTCACCGATGAAAAGCCAGAGATTTGATTTGAAGACATCTTGACGTGACGATACAATTACTGAAAATAAATTAATTCTCATTATTGCAACAGAAGCATTATATATCAAGTAAAATATTATGTATAGTAATAAATTAAGAATATATATTAAATAGTAGAAAGATATTAATATACAAAAATTTGTTTTAATAAGCAATATTAAAACTTCCCAAAAAGTTTAAAAGTGTAAAAGGGTAAAATTAAATTAAATATAAGCAATTAGCAATTATAATTATCAAACAAAATGATTGATGAACAAATTTATTCGTGATAATAATCAACCGTGAACGGTACGCATTGATGAACAGCACACGCATTGATTTAATCATCGACAGATGATCGTCGACTACAGTCGTGACAGCGTGATTCAGGCTCGACGAAGTATAACGTTACACCCGAATTCCTGCCTCCGAATAACTGTAACCCGTTGATTGCATGGCCACAAACAGGTAGCCACCAGGTGATGGTGGCATCACCGACGACTGCGTGAATACTATTATACTATAGTCTATATACATAGAACATATTATATATTATATTACAGTCATCATTTTACAATGACAACTGAGAAATGACGACGAAAGCTACGAAGTGTCAAGGAACAGAATTGGAACGAAATTGTCGATTGTCTAGAAATTAGTCGGCTGAGAATTTCTCTTTCAGGAAAGATTTTCTACTTTGTTTTTCTTCTTCGGCTTCGTCGGTGACAAACTTATTGAATAAACTGGCAAATAACAACGACCGGGTCATTGAACCGGCGTCTCGCATCTGACCGAATTGTAGAAAAGACGACTACTGTCACGCGCGACCTTGAAACTATTACTCCTTTATTGTGCAGCTCGCGATCAGCTGTAGACATTACCGAACTTTTGTGCCAGAATTCTGGACATGGCCG